AGGAAGCGAAGAAGACTTATGACAAAAAATAGAAAATTTCGTCAGGTCTACACTGGAAAACTGTGCAAGGGATTAAGAAATTGAATCCAAAAATATAACTTTCACTTATCTTTTCAAAATCGTGCTGCGCGCGTTGACCTCAGCACAGGATGTTGGATATGGAAGAGGTGGGCTTTGGTGAAAAAAAGGATTTCTGGGGGTACTTTGAGTGAGTGATGGACTAAATGGAGGTAGGTGTGTGATTCTTGGAGGATATGGTGATGCGTATGGCGTAGTGTGAGCGCATGGGCTAGTGTGTATGGACTGAGGGTACATATGGGGAGGTGCGTTAACTAGGTGGTAATTGTACCTAAATGGAGTTTCAGTTGGGGAGGTGTAAAAGCCAAAGTAATTTGAAGGGTTGTAATTAGGTGGTAAGGAGTTTGCAATGCTAGAGTGATTTGGCTTATTCCTATGCCATGCAGGTTGATTTTGGGGAGTCGAGATGCGGTTATAGAAGCTTGTTTGTTTTTGGTTAGAGTTTGGTGGGCTTCTATTTGTTATGTCAACATACCTAGGGCGTTTTGGTTGTGTTGGTGTGCTTAGTAAGGCCTTTTGGTTTATGTGTCTTGTTTGGTAGTCGTTTTCTAGTACTGACTGATCGGTCTTGGGGGATGTAGTAAAACTTATACTGCTATCTAAGGGTGTCACATGACTCGGTCCGGGATCTGCATCATCGTTTTGTTCTGGTTGAACGTTGTTATTTTGTTGTGCCTTTCTCATTTGTTTCTGACCAGCAGTTCTAACTGCTTTTGCAGTTGCGCGCTTTTTATCATGAGAACTAGAGTCAGACGTACTTGCTGGAGGCCCTTCTGCGGGGGCTGTGGGTATATCATTTGGTTTACGCTGGCCTGTGTATTTCTTTTTATTAGTGCTAGAAGTAGAAGTAGTAGTGGCTAAAGGTTCAGTTGAGGAACCGGAGTGCTGATTATCGTATTTGTAGCTGGTGTCTTTTTCCCGTAGTTTACGTCTTTGCATAGGTGTCAAATCTGGACCTATAAACGAGTTTAGGTTTCGCAGATTTCTGTTTACTTCGGGATTTTGTAGGACAATCTCAGCTTCCGCCTGTGAGTAGAATGTTACTAATACGGGTTTGTTTTTGCTTCTGGAGTGAAGTCTTTTAGTGTTAGCTACTCTGATATTTAAGCCACACGAATGTATAAAATTTTGAATTGATGGCATCGGATTAACAGTGTGGGGTATATTACGGATAATTAAATTGAGCCTGCGTTTCGATCTATCCGCGACTTCTGACGAAACTAAGTGTATAATCGATTCAATTTGTGGTAGGCTCGTTAAATTGTTCGTGAATCTATTTGAGTCTGTTAGTGAATCGAGAATCGTAAAAATATGTTCATGTTTCTCGATGAACTTCTGTAAACGGACGATGGCCGAAAGATCTACTTTGTCGACAGCAAACGTAACATCAGTCATGGTTAAATGGGGAGAGTGTAATGGATTTATGTGTTATTTTCGACAGCTAATAAAAATCGACGCAAAATCGACAGAGAAATATGTCAAATATTTCAGTTATAAATGAATTTCAACTTATCTCGAGTCTAAGGATTTTGAACGGTTGTGCACAAACGGGCTAAGTTCGGTAAGCGTAACAGCATTCCGCCCCATTCTCTTTCCATCACCAAGACCCTGTCTACGTGTCAAACAACCAAAAGCCCTAGGTCACCAGCCATTTACTAGCACCCGAAATGTATGAAACGGGCCAATGCATTCGCGACCTCCGGATTCTACTCCTAATTGTGCCATCACACGAGCATACTTATTATATTCTACGGTTCTTATTGCTCAGCACGCCGGTGTGCTTTCGACTCAGGAATTGAACCCATATCGGACTTCAAACGAGCAAACTCATTAAACTTTTTGATCATCCACACGCCCCAGGAGTATCGAATCATCATTTTATTACTTTCCTTCAACATCCCAGACGGTCTGTCGATGGCTTTGTCGGGAAATTAATGGACCTGGCGATCATAGCTTACCCCAAATTGCTGGAGAAGGAGCACGGCTGTCATATCCTTCAATGGCCCGTCACCGGTCCACAAGACCATAAGGTGGAGACAATCTCCTTTAACACCCTCCTACCAACTAGTCGTCGGCCATTCAACAATGTCGACTATACGAAATGTGTTATGAATAAAGGCGAAATTTCGAGTTCCACGTGTATGCATAAGTGAAGAAGAAGAGTCGAGCACCGGAACACTTCGTTTATTATCCTGAGCTTTCATACTCGTACAGGAGTCCATCGTCAGAGGTAGTGGCAGAAACAGGACAAGCGGCAGTTTTAAGGCACGTAGGCCCAATCATTGACCGACCTCACACGACTGGAGGTGACTACGAAGGGCTCCTCATAGACCTCCGAGGTCGGAGAATTCAACCGGACAAAATCATGGTCTCCTTCGATGTGACGTCGTTATTCACATCCATCCCACCAAACGTGGCCCGCGAAGTCTTGCGCAAGAGACTTGAAGATGCGTACGATGAGACTCAGGATGCCCTCAAAATTGAATACCTCATGAGGCAGTTTGAATTCTGCCAACAAACTTTCTTCACTTTTGTGGCAGAGACCTATGAACAAATCAAGGGAACCCCAATGGGCTCACCGGTCTCCGGCTTGGTGGCAGAACTGGTCCTACAGGAGTTAGAAAAGATTGCCTTCCTCCAACATGAACCAGTGTTTTGGCGCCGTTACGTAGACGACACGTTCGTCATCATAAAGAAGGACATACTGCAACATTTCCACAGCCTGCTCAACACAGTCTTCCCTGATATAAAATTCACGAGGGAAGAAGAACAGGAACAGCAGTTGCCCTTCCTGGATGTGCTCGTCAGACGAAATCTTAACGGTGAACTTGAAACGACGGTTTACAGGAAGGCAACGAACACCACACAGCTTCTCAGTTTTCACAACAACCATCAGGTGGCTCACAAACGAAGCTGTGTTAAGACGCTCTTTAAACGGATCCAAACTCATTGCAGCAAACCGGAGGACAGAGCACATGAGGCCCGTTATCTCCGCGACCAGCTAGTGCAAAATGGCTATCCGAGGGCATTCATAAGTCGCTGCCTACGCGGTCGCCACCAGAGAACTCGAACATCAACGCCACCGACGATATGGCATTCTCTGCCATACATCAAGGGTGTTTCAGAAGCTACCGAGCGCATTGCTGCGGAGCTAGGTGTTGGAATTGTACACCGCCCCAAAGCCACCATGCGCAGCAGAGTCATGAAAATCAAAGACCAGTTAAAACTTGAAGAGCAATCTGGAGTAGTGTATCGCATTCCGTGTCAAAATTGTCCTTGTAACTACACAGGACATACTGGACGCATACTCGGATCGCGCATACACGAACATAAGCTGGCTGTGCGGCGAGGCTGTGCATAATCACAAGTGGCCGCCCACACCTACCAAATGGGTCACGAGTTTGACTTCGCAGCCACCAAAATAATCGCCCACGCCGAAAACAAAACAGGCCGATAATTGATTGAATCCTGGGCCTCGGATGAGAACCCGGTCAATCGATTTATCGATCTGGCGCCGGCGTACAGAGCCCTTCGTAGTCACCTCCAGTCGTGCAACGTCGGTCGATGATTGGGCCCACGTGCCTTTTAACTGCCGCTTGTCCTGTTTCTGCCAATACCTCTAACGATGGACTCCTGTACGAGTCTAAAAGCTCAGGATAAAAAACGAAGTGTTCCGGTGCTCGAAATGTGTTATCCTAGGAGTGAAGATACACCACATTTAGACCGCACAGTCCTATGGCCAACGCCACCATCACTCTTGTAAGCCCTCTTCTCTACCAGTACGCTTTCCCGACGACAACCCAGGGTGCGCATACTGCACGCCTTCGACATAACCTCCCAAGTACGTCCAAGTTCGTTGCTCCTGCCTTTTAAGACACTGCTTCCCACCTACCTCCTGTCACCGTACTGGTTAACTTTGAAGGCCAGTCTGTGCAGGTTCTAGTCGACAACGGGCTAATGTATCTTAAGTGCATCCTTCTATCTTGTCCCGCAAAATCTATGGACGGATTGAACCTGTAAGCTATTCTCGTAATCTGCGAGTGGCGACCGGCATCGCGATAATTACCATAGGTCTGATAACTCTCAAATTCATCCATGAAGATACAACAAGTGCGTATCCGCTCCTAGTAACGCCAGGTAGCCCGTGGACCCAAGCCCTACGGCTAGGTTTCTTGACGGACCATAACCGCACTATTCATACCAAGGACCACCGTCTGTTAATCATTTCAAAGAACATCTCAACGCCGTCTTCCAGGACATTCAATTTACGATGGAGGAGGAGGAAAACAATCAGCTGGCCTTCCTGGATGTCCTCGTCTGACGCAAAGATTGTGGTGGCCTAAAAACCAAAGTGTTCAGGAAAGCGACAAATACGACGCAAATACTGAACTTCAGTAGCAACCACCCGATCAGTCACAAACTCATTTGCGCAAGGGCGCTATACCGACGCGTTGAGACGCACTGCAGTGAAATGGAAGACAAGGTTACTGAATTACAATATCGTCGACGGGTAATGAGAGCCAATGGTTACCCGCGCAACTTTGTCAAACAGTGCATACGTAAACGACACCAGAGACCAAATCCAACCGGCCCCAAATTTTGGCGGGCTCTTCCGTACGCGAAGAACGTCTCGGACGCCGTCAGTCGTCTTCTCACTCCACCTGGAGTTGAGGTTGCACACAGGTCGGAAGCAACCATTAGGCGCCAAGTCATGAGGCCAAAAGACCCGCTGCCACGGCAGGAAACGTCTGGAGTCGTTTACCGGATCTGGTGTAGTTGCGGACAAAGCAATTATGTCGGAGAAACTGGGAGATTACTCCGTACGCGACTTGCCGAGCACGTAGCGACAATGAGGCAGGGAGATGCTAACTCTCAGGTGGCGGCACACTCGTTTGACCCAGCCATATTTTCAAACTTCAAGAGGCCGAAATCCTCACAAGGGGTGACAACCGCGTGAGCCGCGAGTTGCTCGAGTCATGGTTCTCAGGCCCGCAATCCATCAACAAGCACAGTGACCTCCCGGTACCCTATTCCGTACTGCGATTTTCCCTGGGCAGGAGAACCAGTCAGGTGGGAAGGGCGCGGGCGAGCAGTGACAGTGACAGTGTGCCAGTTTGCCGAGCGATCGTCACACCAGCATCCAGCACGGATAACGAAATCACGGCAATTAACCACTCGGACTCGGACCGACAAGCCACCACCGCATCAATTACGATCCCAGCGGTGATTGCGAGAACTGTTAATTGCTGTGCGCATATGGTCTACGGCAGCCACGTGCTATAAATGCTGCATTCCTGGTGCCACAATCACCTTTGTCTGCAAATGTCTCTGATGATGGATTCGAGTGAGAATCCAAAACGTCAGGCCAATAAATTTCTTGTTCCGGCGATCGCATCTTCATCTTCTGATTCAATTTTATCCCTACTGCTCCACCTCGTTACAACTGCCCGGCTTCGGCTTCGACTACAACGCCGTATTATCAGGAACAGCTTCAGACCGCATCGCGGACGCCTAAGCCGCGAGTGAAAGACCTTGACTACCACGACCTTCAGGTCCGGTTCCGAATGGAAAGAGAAGGCGGACGCCAATGTAGATAATATATTCTGTGCAGAATAGCTGAGGAAGGAGTTGGAGGGAGTTGGTGACCGGATGATGGCACGTCCGGCGGCGGGTGGGCGGCGTCTGAAGTGTGTGAGGATATCCGTCAATGCGTCTTAAGACAGACTACGTCTGGCTCGGCCTTGAATCGGACTGGTCACTTGGTAAGTCGAGTGGGCGAATGCCAGACAGCTCTGGTGCGCATGTGCAGGCTCTCGAGAGAGCTCCAACGTTGCGGCAAGCGCTTGAAGTAGAGCCACTACAACCTTACCAGTGTAGACGACATCCTAACCCCTCTGACATCATTATGACCCAAAGCACGTAGGCAACTCCATGAGGTTTTGCTTTCCTTTCCAGATGTGTTCATATGGACGACTGATTTCATTGGGAGCACATCCAAGTTGCAGTACGCCATAGACATTTGTGAGGCTAAACCCCTTTGGCAACCCCCACAATGCAAACCGACCCGACATAAAGACAAGAGTGACCAAATTCTGGACGAGCTTCCTAAGGCGTAGAAAACTTGGCTTTCTTCCCCCTGTGGGCATTACCCATAGCCTTCGTTCCTACGAAAGCTGGCTCCTTACGGCTGTGCATTGACAACCGCCGCCTGAACGTCGTCACCATCCGTGTTTCTTTCCCTCGACCTCGACTAGATGATACCCTCAACAGCTGGGATGTGCGGCATGGTTCTCCATTTTGCACTTAAAATAAGGATATTGGCAGGTCGAAATTCATCCTAAAGACCGCCTTAAAACAACTTTCATTGGTCCATGAGGTCTGTACGAGTTCTAGACACTTCCATTCGGACTCCGGTATGATGACACAACCTCTCAGTGGCTGATTCATCAGGTGCTACGGCATATCATCCCCACTAAGTGCCTTGTATACCCGGACGACATTACTGTATTTGGGCAGACAATCGACCAAAACAACCATGACCTAAAGGAGATTTTAAAGGCCCTCCGCGATACTGGCTTGACATTAAACGCCCTTAAATGCGCTTTCCTACGCTCAGAGGCACAATATCTGGGAAATGAAATTTAGCCTGGCCATAAAGTTGACCTACCCGATCATCAAATTCGCATGCGGTCAACACCGGTAAACCAGTTGCAACTCCGTAGTTTTCTTGAAGTGATCTCTTACTACAGACGGTTAATTGATTGGTGTGTAAGCTTTATCAGGCTAGTGGTAGCTTTTCGATTCTCGGATACTCGGGTACTACCTAGCATCAACGTCTCCTGAGGTGCCCTGCCAGTAGTGACAGTGATGTACTGCTTGAAACGTAGGAGTCAGACCACAGATCTTCGTAGCCTTGCCGAGCTTGATAAACGCATACTTAATTTATTTAAAACATCACATTGACTTAATATATGAACATGGGCTGCCTTCCTCTCAAACTCCAAGCCTTCAGGTTGCCCCGCTGGAGGTTGTACAAGTCATTCGCGGTCCGCCTGAACTAAACACTGCGGATCGCTTAGCCATCTGCGTACAAACGCAAAGTTGCATGTGCCTCAATAAGCAATATCTGCTGGCTTGACGTCCGAACTCAAATATTTCCACTGAGAAGTTGCGGACACAGATCGACAATCGGGTTTGAAGATGTCTGCCGTGTGCTCCGCAGTGATGTGAGAGCAGGGACGGTGACTTGCATGTGATTTGGTTTATAGCGAACGTAGACTTGCGTCGCATCTACCGCACTCTCTCCTCCTCCCCATCGACCCAGTGTCACGACAGAGTCAAGAAGACCGGAGATGGGTAGGGCACAGGCGTACGGCGCGTCGAGCCCACACTTTGACGCTCCACCCCACCCCCCTCTCCACACAACAAATAACCAGGTTTTTGACCAACGACAAAGAATGCAGCTTGGTACGGCCGTGGCCGCACCTATGCGTGCCGCCACACTTGGCTCAGCTCCCACGCAGTGGGAGTGCCCTAAGGGCTACATTAAGAAAGAGCCTTTGCAGCCTGTCTTTTGCACTCTTAGCCGGCCACCCGCACCAACCCAACACTGACAGAATGTTATTACCGACGAAGACAAGGGAGGCTGGAGTGGCCATTTCTGGCTTATTAGCGGCCGTCAGACAGTCATACCCAAACCCGAAGTGTGGAAGAGCTGGGGCTCGAAATTGCGATTTGTCAGTTGGAAGTTCAACGCTTCTAACCACTGAGACACGGGCTCGTTCTCCTGTCGGTTTCGATCGGAAATACACAATTGTAGGGGGGCGGTGTACGCCCGTGCTCTTCACTAAGGCAACGGTGAGGGCAACATGAAGCACTCTTCTCTAGCAGCTCACGAATCAACTCTGCAATAGTGAATCGAGTACAGGAGCCTCTGTCCAGCATCTTCAACCTTGCTCTCCACGTACACATCAAACTGTCATATGAATTTCCAGTAATTCATTGTATTAACGTCAAACCAGGACAGCTCAATCTTGGGCAGTTCTAAGTGGGTAACTGCCTGAATCCTGGCACCATCGAAAAGGTCTAACGACGGGCAACCAAGCTTGTCACAGGTCGAAAAACATACCTTACGAAATTAGACTGACCAATCTTGACCTCTTTTCCCTGGACTACAGACAAATACGTGACGACTTACTACAAACGTTCCGAATGCTACGGGGTCCGGATTGCTGCCTCGCATCCGGTGGCTTCTTTGATTTAGTCACCCCTGCCAGCTTGAGAGTACCTCGTCTGCAACTACGTGCGACAGGGGCGAGACTGGACGCAAGGAGGTCTTTCTTCAGTCACAGAGTGGTAAGGGCATGGAATCTTCTGCCTGTGGACGTCGTCATGTCCTCATCCGTGGACACATTTAAGTGGAAGCGTGGCCAGTGCGTGGATATGTACCACCACGACATCAGAAACTAACGAATTTCCCTCGTGCACCGCCCTCGCCGGAATCTTTACGTTACGAAGTATGTTACTACCAATATGTAAGTAGTAGTATTTTATAACTTTTCAGTTATCTCATAACCGAAGCATACACGTTTGTGTCGATATTACTTCGTCCATTCAGTACCGCGTACTGGCTATTGTACATTTTTGATACAGAAGGCATTCACAGACAGATTTTTAAGAGTAATCAATGCTCGTTGAATGTAATTACTTGCCTAATTTTCTTTGACACTTGCCTTACACATTGTTTTTTTATGATGTTATCGTAACCAAAAGGTAGTTCAAAGGCGCTGGCCTACCTTTCCCTTAATAAATCTGTTCAGTTTTATAGAATAGAATAGAATAGGTTTATTGTAACGCCCCCTGGGCACTGTCAGACCCCTTTAAACTCAGGAAAAAAAACCAAAACAAACTCATCAATTTCAACCGCACTTTGACTTCATTTGCTTCGGGTGTCTGTTTAGCCAAAAGAGCGCGAATTAAGAGTTTGTTTTAAGTTAAAAAAAAACCTCAGTTCTAAGGGAAAATAATAACAAAAGTTCTAAAAAATAACGATATGTACCATATAAAAATTGAAGTTTGCAGTTTGGTAGTTTTGGGGGGCATGAATAATGTGTCCTTCATGGCAAATGAAGAACTTTGATATCGGCCTGACCTTGAAATTATTTTCCTGTTGGGTAAATTTCGGTGTGCTCTAGTTGCTGGTTGTCAGTCTATCTGGCCAGCTGTAAGGGGGCGGTCGCACAGTTCCTACGTGTTTTTCAGGAGGCTTACCATCGTTGTCTGGACAAAGAGCTGGAAAAGATGAATATATATCAGGAGTAA